GCATCACCAGCTGGCAATTCTGGAACTAGGTGAGAGTCATGTCAGGCTGGACCACAGTATTGCCTGGCAGGTGTAAAATCCAGAGCTAGGAGCATGCCTGGTAGCAGAAGTGTGGGCACTTTCTTGCTAGGCTGTACTTACCACTGGTAAGTACAAGAACACGGGCTTAGGGTAGGCCAGCAAGGTTGGACAAGGTAGTGGCACCTGTCAGCATACCTGAGGAGCAGATCTGGGGGCAGGGCAGGCTGAACTAAGCCACAGCAGCAATTGGTGTGCAAGAGAGCCAAGTGGGATGTGGGCTAGGCCAGGATAGGCTGTAGCAGGAGGCTGGCACATGAAAAAAAAAAAACTGTGGCTTGGGGTAAGCCTAGTGGGGTTTACTGGGTGGGTCACCCTGACTGGGCCACAGCACCCTCTGGTATGTGGTAAGGACTCAGTCTGTGGTGGTCTGGGTGGATTGGCCATAGCAGCTATTGGTTCACGTGAGATATTGGGCTGGAGTGTAACCTTGAGGCTGTTGCATCCACTGATATGTGCACTGGCTGGTATAGGTGGCAGACCATACAGTAGCCCTACACGGCTGGCTAGTGCACACAAGAGTCAAGTCTGAAGTCATCCCAGGCAGGGTTTCTTGAGGGAATTCCCTGATTGTTCTGTTGGACTCAGATATTAGCAACACAGGATCTGTGGTCCGAACTTAGAGTGCATATATTGGGCCTGGGCCGCCTCAGTTATGATGCCTGTATGGTAGACAGCCTGTCCAGATGCACACCAGGGAACATGACAACCAGCTCCTCTGGGCCATCAAAGGATGGAAAGCAGAACAGATAGGACGGCTCTGCTGGTTAAGCTATGTAGCATGTTCCTGGGTCTTTGGATAAACTAGACTTTATCAACCAACAGAGCCTGGAAGGATTTTCTCAACCACAGAGCAATAAAACCAACAATGTCTCAAGGCTATCAAAATCACTTGAGTAACACCCTTGATACACTCTTCCCCACACTAGAGTCTACACATCATCAAAGAACCATCGCCCATCCCCAGGCACCAATGTAGTTTGACAGCAAGCAGCAGCCATCTCTCCCTCCTCCCTTGTGTACACAATAAAACAACAATTCCAACATCTCTTCTCCTAACTCATGCCATAAATTACCTGTTCCAGTGGGAATGGACCCATACATCCCCATTTCAGTGCTTTTGCCCATGCTACTCCTCCCCCAGTCTGGAATGTTCCTTTTAAGGGTTCTCAAGAGCTATTGTTTTGCCTTACCTCTCCATTAGGTGAGAATGGATGGCCGACGCCAATTTCTTTTGATCCTTCATTCTTCACATGTTCTGACTCTAGATATGGCCCTATGTTTTGCAAAACATAGTTCCTGCCATCCTACAGCATAAAATGTAGTAGAGAAAGTAGGAACAAATCCCAAAGGATGAACATTTTATCCTTTATTTTACTTTGATCAGATTTCATCTGTATTGCTATGCTTGGTTTATATAATGCCTTTATTACTAAATAGCAATCAAAAAGTTTGCAACTATTTGGAGGTTTGCAATAGATTTGCAACTATGTGGAGTTTCATGAAACAAGAATACAAAATATCATGAAAACATTTAGAGATTGAAGTAAGGTATAGTTGGAGGTGATATTAACCAAAACAAGAAATCTTTCTTGAAGAACTCACTTTTGAGCTCACAATCAGAGCAACACTCTTCAGTGGAATTTGCCTCAGTGATGGAATCATGGCATTATTGGTTCTGTTCAGTCACCAGCCACAGGTGGCTGTGAACACTTAATTGGCTCTGTTGCAAAAGGTCAGGAAGTGAGTGCTAAATTATATTCAATTTGAGCTAATTTAAACTGAAGCAGTCACATGTGGCTAGCCACTGCAGTATTAGAGTGTGTGGACCTAAGTAAGCTGATGGAAGGCAGAAAGGGTATGCTGTTCCTCAGCTGAGATCCCATGGTATGTTTGAGGGCACAACAGCAGGTGGGTGTGACAGGAATGCAGAGCCCTGGAGAAAGTATCATGAGTGAAGCCACAACAGGAAGATAGAGGCCGGCCATGTAGGGCCCCCAAGGCCATGATTTTGAGTTCTGTCCAAATCACAGTGTGATGCTGTTGAAGGGATGGAAAGCATAAGAGTGACACAATCAGCTTAGCATAGCAATAAAAAAAAAAAAAACACTCCCCTCACAAGAAATAGAATAAATAAGGGAAGGAAGAAATAGAGAAGACTAGTAAGGCTCTTAGAAGAATTTAAACAAAATACGAGGGCATGAGGGGCTGGAGATGGAGAGAAGGCACAGATCTGACATGTCTCTGTTCAGTCTTATCACACATTACTTGGATGACACTGACGAAGGCACTTAAATCTCTAGTCCTGCTTTTCAGCTTGTTGGAATAACAACCCCATCCCCTATTACCCTTTACATGATGGTCAAACAGTTTATTGTTAACAGAAAACACTGTAAGAATGGAAGAGGCTGGACATTGCTGTTTAGTTCCACATGGGCCATTATCTTTTTGCTCCCTTTTCCAGACAACCATCCACTTATAAAAAAACTTCAGAAACTTTGGAAGAAAAAAGAAATTAAAACAGAAGGCATGTTTTTAATCAACTTTTTGATATCGATATTTAATTTTTTAAAATTTATTTGAAAGAGTAGAGTCAGAGAGAGAGAGAAATGTCTTTCATTCACTGATTCACTTTCCAAATGGCCACAATGGTCAGGGATGGGCCAAGCCAAAGCCAGGAGCCAAGAGCTTCTTCTGGGTCTCCCACAAGGGTGCAGAGGCTCAACCACCTGAGCCACCTTCTGTTGCTTCACCATGTATATTTTCAGAAACTGGATCAGAAATGGAGCAAGCAGGATTCAAAACAGCAACGATAAAAGATGCCAGGGTCACAAGCAGAAGCCTAACCAGTTACATCACAGTGCCAGCCCAGGCCATGAACTTCCAGAAACCCCCTCTTACAATTAGTACTCACCTAGAACGAAACGATACTTCATTGGCAAAATCTGTGTTGATTTTTGTATTATGAAATTTAGCTGTTTTGTCTTTAGGAGAACTTGTATATCTATCCTAGACAAGTTTCAGTGTTTAGCAAAGAACAGGAACACAAAGCACTTAGTAGCTGCCCAGCAAATGCTTGAGCATCAAATCAAAGAATGACATTCAGCTGATCCTTGCTGGCTAAACAGTTTGTCCACCTATCTTCCCCTCCTTCCTGATAGAATCTCATTGAATACCTCAATCATCACAGCCACAGTAGAGAGTGAGATTTTCTTATCATCCCATTTTATAGATAAGAAAAACTGAGGCTAGAAATGTAAAAGTAACTTGAGCAACAGCAGAAAGTTTCCAAGATATTGGAATTGGGGTATCAATAAGCTGTCTGGCTGCTGAATCTATGCCCTGCATGCAGTGCTACCTTTCCCATACACTGAAAGGCTTTCTTTCCTAAGTTTCACACCAGCAATGAGGTTCCCAGTAGATGTGACAGGATTATCCTAGTGCCTCTGGCACACAGCCACACATCCATACTCCACGTGAGGGCAATGGCCTCAGACCCAAGAGCTTTATTCAAGCTTGCTTAGTGAGATAGTATCATTAAGGACCAATGCCTACAGCACTTATGTGGCTAACAGTACTCAAACAGATGATACGTTGGCTGCCACTGGGAGATGATTAAAAATCTCCCATTAAACCAAGCTGTACTTAGAGTAGACCTTTTCTAAAGTGGGTTTTCATCAGGGGATTATATTTTCTTCTTGACAATTTCCTTAATGGCAAGAAGGGCTATATGTTAGAAGAACAAAGGAGACCCAAGGGCAAAGAGTAGAAGATTCTCACCAATGCAGGGGCTGAAACAGGGGGAGAGAAGAAGACAATTAAACAGGCAGAAGAGAAGACATGCCTCTCTGATTCCTTTGATTTCTGTATAATGCTCTGGTGCTGCCCACCCCCCAGCTCCTCTCCCGACCTTCTTCTCCAGGGGCACTAACAGCAGCTCAGAGCTCATTAAAGTTTAAACAGACTGATCAATAAGGACAGCATGGTGAATTGTCCATCTGCAAATTACCAAGCACCTCATAAATATTTAAAGAACTAAACTAGGGAACTGGGGAAAGGAGGCATCGAGAATCTTACTTTTCCTTCTAAAAATACGGGGGATGTGGGGGACAAAAAAGATTTCTGCCCTTTCTAATCACAAGGATATGAAATCAACAGCCAACTCAAACTCAAAACATGAAACATATTTTCTAGCATCACTTCCTTGCCCAAGCCTGTGAGCTACATCAATCTCAAGCGACTCAAGATGAGCATGTGCCTGGTACAGACTGAAGACTTCTGGTGTGCCCAGCTTCAGTGCTTTCTTAGAACATCTCACGACTTCACGCTGGTGTCTCTCACACAGGCTGCTGTTGCCTCTGCTCAAGATGTGGCTCCCCTCATTTTTCCACTTCTGAGACCACTGATGAACAGATACACAGCTGCAGGGTCAGAATGACCAGCCCCAGTATTGCCTCTATTACTTTACCAACTGTACAAAATCAAGTAAATTCCCTAACCTTTCTAATGAAGTGGGGTTATTGTAAGGATTCCTCTCTACACAATGCACACTAGTATTTTTTACACAGCATTTAGCATGTAACAAAGGCACAATAAACATTAGCTTTCATTATCCAAGACTGTTTCCAAATTTGGTCACAGAATAAGTTTCTGTGTCCCTGATCCTCCCTTCCCAGAATCTTCTCCAGGTTGTTTCTTTCCTTAGCTCCAATTATCATTATTTCAATATACCATTCAGCACACTGTATTTTAACTATCCATCCTGCTGCTGGATAGTGAGCTCCTGGAAAGCAAGGTTATCTCTCCTTCTGCTTTGTACCTGACATCACCCCAGTGTAATAGCTGGCACCAGGTAGACATGCAATAGGCTCACAGCAGGTGGGATTATGTGCAAGGAGAGAGCACTACACTTTTGTCCATACCTTTGTGACAACACAGCATGCAGCCCAGATGTCCTCAGAGGACTGCTCATGGTGGTTGAACTGAGGCTCCCACTTCTTAATTGGATGGTCTGCAAAAGCCAAAAGGACACCACACTGGTCCACCAGAGCTGCTCGGACACTGCCAGTTCCAACATCCACACCCAAATAGTAGCTCCCTGTTTCCTGTTCGCCAGACATTGTGAGCAATGCCAAAAATCTGTGAAGGCCAAGAAAATCTGCAAAGACAGTTTAAAAAACATATTAGAAGTAGAAATTAAGGAATGTAGTTATCAATGTTGTAGCATTTTTAAAATGTATTCATCCAACAAAACTTCAATGCTATCAGTGTGCTAATAATCCATGTTCTCAGTGGTAGGTGGACAAAACTGACAGGCCTCAGACATTAAGTTTCCATTTTTGGAAGAACATTAAACATTTAATTGCATAATTATTTAAGCAGAGTTGTACTGAGTGCTCTAAGGACAAATAGAAGGTTGCAGAAGAATTTAGAATCTGGAAACAATAGAGATTAAATTATTCTCAGCAAACTGAAATAAACAAAGACAGTGACCACAGAACCAATGGAGCAGGACAATGGTTGGGTTGGACACTCCAGTGATGACTGCCCAAGAAACACTAATTTGATCAGTTCATCATGCTCGAAGTTACCCTCACAAGAGCTGTAGGAAACAGGTGAAAGACTACAATGTCTGGTATTAGAAAAATAATAAGAGAAGTTGCATTGCAGAAATCAAGAAAGGAAATAGTCTTCATTATCAACCCCCAACTCTAGTTCCAACTATGGCAATGTGGAAAGGATACTTTAGCTCACATATAGGAGAAACAGCCAAGTCTTCAGATTTGACTCCTAATGCCACTTAGACAAAAATTGGAGTTGAACAGAGACACATGGTCCAAGCCCCAAGACCCATATCTGCAGATTGACCATCTGATCCCTCCATATAGCCATGAGACCTCGCCTCTGCCATTTCTCCCATAAACAAGAGCAGAAAGCAGAACAAGACTCAAGCCTCTGATGGTAGCTCAAAAGAGGGAGATTAGGAATTGCTCTTAGACCTTAGAACCAAGCCATGATCATGGGATGCAACAAACAAAGTGTAAAATCATCAGGCCAATGCTGCAGATGAAAACTCTAGACTAGTCCCTTCATCCGGCAGAGACCTGCACTGTGTTGGGACGTACTTATTTCAGGATGTTTGATTGCTGGTCAAGCGTGCACTGCTGAAATTTCACTGTGCCTGATGATAATGACACCCTGGTATCAACCAACTTAGTGACTGCATGGGTAGGTAATGGGGTGTCTTTATCACCTATCCCCCGAACTTGAGAAGATCACAAGAAATCATAGGGAAGTGTGTTAGCATTCAGCCCTGAGCTGGTCAGATTCTAACAGTCTCCATCACTAGACCAGTGCCCATAAACAGACTATGCTTACTATCCCAATTTAGGCAGAAACATAAATCTTGGTGGAATGATTTGTATTGTGTTACTATCAGCCTCACACAGGGCTAGGATGAAATTTCAAGATTGCATTGCGCCAACTCACTGACCCAGGGCCTTGTAACATTGGAAAGACAGCAAGGAACCACAGGACTATATCATGACCCAGTTCCAAGCTGTTAAAATGCAATATTAAGAAGATATTAATTCTAACTGTGCCCAACCCCAGGCCCATGCTGATAGAGTTGTTGGGCCTGCCTAAGACTAGTTGGGTTCAATAGCCCCAGTTACTAGTCATATGCACCAACCAGCACAATTAACTGACAGAATTGGGACTGAACAGTTGGTATATCAACTATAGCAGGGTGAGCTTTAGTTTTATGCTCCAGTTGTACTGGTCTCAGTAGGCTCTAGATACATTCTAATTCAACAGGCCTATAATCGCTACAGAAGCAAGGTTTGTAAGGATGAACTAACCCTTTTTAGACATTACTCCAATTCATTTTGAACAACACAGTTACTACAGCTTTGGGACAGAAACAAGCTTGGAAAATATTTTAGGAATGATGCAATAAAAACACAGCAACAGTGAACCTGCAACAAGCTTTGACTTAGTATCCTTTTAGTGATGTATAAGATTTGCCCAGAGCCACACAGAATGTCTGGAAGAACAGACATGTATAAAGTCAGATTACACTAATTCTTCAATACATGAAGGGTATCAAACCTCAAAATAAGCATCACCAAGTTCCAAGAAATCATGAATTTGCTAAACAAACAAAATAAGGTGTCAGGCCTGGTACAGTGGCCTAAGCAGTAAAGTCCTCGCCTTAAACACACCAGGATCCCATGTGGTTGCTAGTTCTAATCCTGACAGACCTGCTTCCCATCCAGCTCTCTGCCTGTGTCCTAGGAAAAAGTAGAGGATGGCCCAAAGCCTTGGGACCCTGCACCTGCGTGGAAGACACAGAAGAGCCCCTGACTCCCGGCTCTGGATTGGCGCAGCATCGGTCTTTGAGATCAATTGGGGAGCGAATCATTGCATGGAAGATCTTTCTGTCTCTCCTCCTCTCTGTATATCTGACTGTGCAATAAAAATAAAATAAATCTTTGAAAAAAATTAAAATGAGGTGTCACAAATTAACCATAGATGAATTTAAATTTTTCAAATGTTCAAGCAAATATTTAAAAATAGATGTTTTATGCAAACTCAAAAAATCTCAAAGGAACATGGAGAAATATTTTAACATTCTAAGAGAGACTGGAAAGCTAATTCAACAGAAAAGCATAACAAGTGAAATTACAATCATGATAGAAGTCATTAGTATAAGAATTTATCAAACACAGAACAGAATCAGTAGTCTTGAAGACAAGCTATTTGAAAATACATACTTGAAGGAATAAAAGATTCAAGAAGAATGAAGTGAGATTACAGAAACTTTGGAACATCATGCAAACAGCAAATACATAAGTAATTATACTCAGGATTCAAGGGGTATCTGAGAAGGACAAGGAGGTAGAAAGAATATTCAAGCATAGCAACAGTAAGGTACCAAGTCTAGAGAAGTCACATCTACCTAGGAATGGCAAGGTTGAAGGTCAAAGGACAGGATGGTAGTCAAATTCAACTCTTGAGCCAACCAAGTCTATCCGTCTATCCAAAACATAATATAAAGCAAACTCTTCAAGGTTAAAAAGCAAAGTGAGGATTCTCAAATCCTCAAGATAAAATGAACAAAACATTGAAGACCCCAATTCACCGCCGACTGCAGACTTCTTGGCAGATAGTTTATAGGCTAGGGATAGTTTAATGGGACCTCTGCAGTGCTGAAGGTAGAATTGCCAGCCAAGAATACTGTGCCCCATAATGCTATATTTCAGTTATGAGGCAAAACCAAAACATTCCAAGAGGAGGCAAAGAAAAATGAATGTATCAGATTAGATTTGGCTTAGAAGAAATTTTAAATGGGGTTTTTAAAAGCTTAAAGAAAGGAATGCTAATGAATAGAAAGCACTCCACTGCATAAAACAAATACTAACTAACAGGAAAAACAGACTCTAACACAAGGACAGACCCTAATACAAAATTTTAAGGGCTTTGAAAACGCACTTTCAGAAGAGAATTAATGAAGAATGCAAAGAAGCAGATAGTGCCCTATATGAACTGAGGCTGATGGATATGTACAGACTATTTTATCCAATATCTACAAAATACATATTCTTCTCAACATCATGTGTAGGATTCTCCAGCTCAAAGCTGCCACCATTGTATAGTAGGCTAGGCCTCTGTCTGCAGCTCCACCATTCAATATGGACACCAGTCTGTGTCCCAGCTCCTCCACTCCTGATTCAGCTCTCTTGCTTATGGCCTGGGAAATTTGTAGAAGATGGATCAACTTTTGGAGTCCCTGAACCCACGATGACAGACTCAGAAAAAACTCCTGGCTACTGACTTGGGATTAGCTCAGTTCCAGCCATTGTGGCTATCTGGGGAATGAACTAGTGGATGCATGGTTCTCTCTCGCACGCACGCGAGCGCACAGTCTCTCTCTCACTCTCTTGCTCTCTCGCTCTCTCACTCTCTCTCTAACTCTGCCTTTCAAATAAGAATAAAATGAACCTTTAGAAAAACGATTCTCCAGGAAAGATCATATGATAGGTCACAAAATAAACCTCAACAAATGAGAATAAGTATCCTTAAACCAGAATAACAAAAAGCTAGAATAAAAATAAAAACCTCAAGTAACTAAATGTTAGACAGAATAATGAATAATAAATAAAATAACTAAACACACAGAAATTAAGCAACTTATATATGAATAACCAACAGATCACATAACAAATTTCAAAGAAAATTACACCTAAATTTACTGAAATGAATGAAAATGGAACTTCAACATACAGTTACAGAAATACTACAAGGGAAACTTATAGAAATCATTGCCTGCATCAAAAAAGCAAAAGGTCTCAAATAAAGAAGTTTTTGCTGTACCTTAAGGAACTAAGAAAGCAACAACTAAAAAAAAAAAAACCGAGTCAAATAAAAAATAATAAGTCAATTCACAAATAATACAAAGAACAAAAAATTTTAAATTTAAATGAAATGAAGTGCTTTATCTTTAAAAAGTTAAAAATCATTGCCAAGTTTTGTCTACACTAAGACAACAGGATTCAAACCCATAAATTCAAAATTATAAATAAATACAATATCTAATCAGAAGAAAAATGAGGAACCATATTAAATTATTAATTTAAGAAATCTCTCATCAAAGAAAAGACTAGCAGCAGAAGGCTTTACTGTTGAGTTCTACCAAACACTTGAAGAGCAATTAATGGCAATTCGTACAGTATTCCAAAGTGAGAAAATAAAAGTAAATGATTCCAATCTCATTCAACAAGACCAGCATCACGTCAGTACAAAGATACACACACACACACACACACACACACACACACACACACAAATGTACTGTGAATACAGATGCCAAAGTCCCCTCTCCCTCCAAAAAAAATAGTGACAAACTGAATCAAATGACAATAAAGCTTAAGTATCATGATCAATGAGATTAACCCTCTTAATGCAAGGATATTCAACTTACAGAAATAAATAAACATGATGCACCACACCAACAAGATGAAGAACAAAAATCATATGATCATTTCAATAGATGGAGATAAGTAATTTGACAAAATTTAACATGCACTCATGATAACAAAGAACTAGCAACACATTAGATATAAAAGAAATATACTCCAATATAA